TAATTTTACCATGCATTTCCTCTGATAATCGTTATTGCGTATAGCTCCATTTTCAGATGTCTCTGTTTTCCTCCTTCCTAGCATGGATTACCAGTATTTTAAAATGAAAATGGCCTCTTCAGCATTTCAAAAGTTCCATTTCAGGGGATCGAAAACTTTGGGGTAGTGTTAAAACAAAAATTGTATTCGTGTAAACTGGTCCAAAGTTTAACTCAGTTTAGTTTTTATTGATGTTTGTCAATCAGAGAGGTTAAATATTAATTAAAAGAATTTAAAGACTTCAACTTTTCAAATCTATTAACAAATAGTCGCAGTTAGTTGAAACTTTCTTGCTTACACTAGTAAGTTTTAGTTTTAAAACGGCGTTTTAGAATGAAAACAATCCGCATCCACACTAGGGTGTCACCCAGCGTTTGTGAACAGCTCTCCGTCTACACAACACCACTTAAAATGCACATCAGATGACCACACACACACTCTGGCATGCGCTGCAGCATATGCATGTGGACGTCTGAGCTCCAGGCAGTCATCTACCCAGATGAGAGCTGTGCTCGTCGGACTGTTCATCAAGGATCTACCGCTGTATCCAATCTCACTATATTTGTAAAACGTGATTTTTAACTCATCTTGTTGTATATATCTAACTATATCTAAGTTCTCAGGTAACGTGCTTTGGCTGAGTGCAAAGATAAGTTAATATTTAATTTAACCATGTACATTCTGTATATTGACTGATTGCTTGCCTTTTTTTCCTATATTGTATAAACTTGTTGTACGTTATACTTTTATAATGGCCATTATTGATTATTAAAATTAATATTCAGCAAAAGAGAGGCTATGTTTCGTATTTTCAATGAGAATGAAAGGCTCCGTTTTGTTATAAATATGCACACAGTGAAGATGACGGTTATATAAATATGTAGCTACACGACGCCTCAACATTTCTGCTGTCTGTTAAGTTGCTCATATCAACATCAAAACAGCAGTTTTTAATATATGTTTTCATTTTATAGTTAAGAAAGTGAAACAACGTACAATAGCTAGGGTTATGTGAATAAGGTTATAAAGTACACCGTTCCCTTTGAAGATTTACTTTACGTGTCCCTGGAGTTTGTTTTCCATATTAAACTTGCGAAGTTTGAACTTAAAAGGAGAGGATGAAGACTGAACTGTGTGTAGGCTACTTAATATTGAGGGAAAACCCCCAATCACAATGTCTGCAGCCCTGCCTCCGTTTTCAGATGTCTCCGTTTTCCCCCATCCACACTGAGACGAAGCAGCAGTATTTTAGAATGAAACAGCCGCTTCAGCGTTTTCAAAATGCTCTGTTCGTGCTGCTCGAAAGCTCCGGCGTAGTGTGATGGCGCAACCATAGCAAAACGTATGTGCTTTAAAACTAAAACGTATTAGTGTAAACGGGGCCTAAATCAAAACAATATTAATTTCAATACATTTATTTTTCTACCGCTCTTTTTACAATGTAGAATGTGTCAAAGCAGTTTAACATATTTGAAGAAAAGAGAACAAAAAGTCATAAAAATATTTCAGATTTTGGAGGATTCCAGCAAATCAGACTAGCCATCAGGATCAATGCAGAGAATCAGTCCTGCGCACTTGATTCATGGATGGCCATGACAGTTATCTGCTCTCAACGTGGACCGGATCCAAGATTCTTTGAACCTTTAGCATTATTTGGACTAAGCCTGTTTCCTTGTCATCTTCAAACATCTTTAAACAAAATGTATTGCATTTGGTTGTGAAAATGAATAAGAAACATTTGAAGGTGAAGTCTAAATAATTGAGCATGGTTTAATATCTAAAGAATGACTTTCAGAAGCTGATTTGAAAATTGATGCCCAAAAAGCCAGAAACTATGAAAATGTGTGGCTGAAGCCAGCGTTCATTTTAGATATTTTTGCCTTTCTCCAAAACAATCTCAAATACTGTCCTGATGGAGGAAATGGGCATTTTCAGTGTTTTAGCTTTTCTTATAACCACTTGCCATTTTGTGAAGCTCAGCGAATTTTTATGGCAAATCCCAGCTCTGTTCTGTGGTTTTCCCCATCGTGATGAATGACTGAGGGAGTTTGGCCTTTATGTTTCCTCGTATTTGTAGCCCTGTGAAACAGGAGCTCACCGCTGAACAGTTTCCTGTTTCTAGTCACCCAGGTGTACTAAATAAATGTCAAATATCACAGGGAACATGTTTCAAATATATTGTGCTCATAAGAATTCATAGGGGTGCCAGTAATTGTGGCACACATATACTTTGTTTTTTTATATTTTGATGAAACTGTGTTGATTCCAGTCACTCTTAGTGAGATGAGAGTTTTTGTTATTGTTTTCATTAATATTTTTATCTGAAGGTTTTTTTTTTACTTTTTTGATTATATTTACCATTGTATGTGCACTGTAAATAAAAAAAAGGTTTTCTTAGATTTGTTTTATTTTTTCTAGTCCAAATATCTACAGCTTTTTAAATCAAGATGCATTTTTAGACAAGCAACAAAAATAAAAAAATATGTAAAAAAAAATTACGTGGTTTTTTTTTAAAACAAACAAACTAATCTGCAAAAGGCATAAGCAAAAAATACTTTGACATAAGATTATTTTGCTAACCCAATTGGCAGATTATTTAATGTGTTTTGGGTAAAAAAAATAAATAAATAAATAACTCCTTAAAACAAGATAATATACTTTGCTTGTTTAAATGCTTCTTGATTTAAGAGTTTTTTGATATTTGGACTAGAAACAAGGCAACAAAAATCTTAGATAAAAAGCGTTTGCAGTGTGTAGTTATGGGACTCCTCTATCTGTCCAGCCTGACCTCTCGAGGAAACGTTACTAGCCAGTTCAGTTGTACGAAAATGTCCAAAAACCTACCCCTAAACCCAACCGTTCCACCCAACAAATCATACTAAATTATATGGATGAGATTGTACGAATTTTAACAAATTAGCCATTAAATCAAAAAGTTTGTCATGAGAAATCATTGATCTCTCCAGGAATCCATGTATTTTGTGTCTTTACTAAAACACTGTTGATGTTTTCACTGACCCAGAACCAGCTCTATTTAATCACCCGCATAAAGATGAACTGCTCAAAGCAGTATTTTTAGACCGATGAATCATGTTTTCCATTCTACTATGAATATGGCTCAGATTTGCCCTAGAGATCTGGACAAGCATGATTTGATGTGTGAAAATATTTGAGAGCTGAATGAATGGGACCATCAAATCCATGATATGATGATTGTAAATATGTCGTTCTTGGAGTGACTTGAGTGGTTCATTTGCCCTTCAGCTGTTTTATGTTTAATTAGATACGCATTTGAACAAAAACAATTAGCTAGGCCTATATTAACAATTTTGGTCACACTTTAATTTAAAGTACAATTCGCGCTAATATCAAACCATTTTAGTAGTTTAGTAGGGTTTAGGTACATTGGGATAATGTGATGTTATAGAGTATGATTATGCACAATATTCATTTTATAAGAGCTAATAAACAGCCAATATATTTATAATAGGTGGGTAATAAGCAACTAGTTAACAGTGAGAGTTAGTACTTAAACTAAGGTGTTGCATAAATGTTTGATTGAATGTGTGTATGTATGTGTGTGCGTGTATATATATATATATATATATATATATATATATATATATATATATATATATATATATATATATATATATATATATATATATATATATATATATATATATATATATATATATATATATATATATATATATATATATATATATATATATATATATATATATATATATATATATATAT